TGCGTGTGTGTGTGTGTGCGCATGCAACCGTATAGTTCGAGTTACCATGCTGACAGATCTCGCAACAGATAGTTAGCCCGAATGACAGAAAGCGAGTCATATAGGCAGTTAGGTATACTAAACTACGAGCATGATTCTAGAGATATATGCATGCGATACATCACAGTGGAAAGCTTGCTGCATGCACCGTGTTCCCAGGTGCAGACTGCTTCCTTGACCTTGCATCCTCGAATTGTTGTTTCCACTTGCAAGCTCAAATGAATCCCAGATGCTTTGCTCGAATCATCGAACACTGGCAGTACTCCATGTGCATGTGTGTCCCTGTGTGTGTGTGTGTGTCTGAGTTCGACAATGTACATCGCTGTACACCTTGACCTTTGATTCGACAAACAGGCAAGCCAGAAGGTATATTGGCGACAGAGGTCATGCCAGCGTAGACCCCAAAGCAGTATAAGGAACTAGCAGTCCAAGCGCCAGCACCGTGAAACGCCCTCACAGGCGAAGAGCTGTATAAACACCGGCGTCATGCGCCATTGTTCATCCCCATAGTTGCTGCACGCGGAAATTGACCCATCGATCATGGGATGAAGGAAGTAAAGTACCATGCGCAGTATCCACCACGCCGATGCATCCGGTGTGCCGCTGCCGTGAAGTTCAGGAAGTGGCCGTGCTCCGCGTTTAACAATGATGCCGATGATGCCCAAGCGAAGTTCTTGTAGGAAAATGTTCTGGGCCAACCGGCAACTAACTGGAGGCTGCACGGTGGCTTTGTCCCAGCTTTGGTCCAACTACCACCTTACATCCGGTTATCGATTTCCGTGGCCGTTGACCGGGCATGTGCTCCAGCACCAGAGTGTAACAGAGCGTTCACACCCGAGTTCACGAGAAGACATAGACATGTAACTTTGCAAACATCGTCCATATAAGACCCCTCTTTCCTAATCCTTTCATTTCCCAGACGGTGACGCCCCGCAAGCGCTGTCGGCGCTGGCAGCCCTGGAGGCCCGTCAAAACAAGACAAACAAAGCTGGCTTTCATAATGACGTTACGAAAGATACGCATACCAATATTTCTAATGGTCGCACTGTACTGTAACCGCGGTTACATCCCGGGAGTTCTCAAGAGCATTTCTTGTTACTTCGAGAGTTGCTTTTACATGCTTTTACGAGTTCTGCATAAAAGGTTCAGTATGGAATTTCGATTTGAGGTTGCGCCGTGGTGTCGGCGGAAGTCGTTGATTGGCTGCGTGGTTTAGAGTTCATTGCAACCGCAGTATGCCGAGGAGCTTCAGCCTGAAGGATCGTTTGCCGGGATACGGGCTTGTACTTGGAGTTTGCCAAATCGTAATAAATGCATGCAGCATGTCTTGTAATAGCCTCAGGCAAGCTTAGGGTCTGCCAAACAATAAACCTAAAACAACATACCGGAACCAGCATTGCCTGAGCACTGACCTTCGGTGCACTCGGGGTTCCAAAAAGTCGTGGTGAAACCGTGTAACAAACCCCAGCCGATGGCGAGTTTGTGTTTTTTTAAGGTGAAAATTGGACTGTACACGGTTAGCACTTTTCGCTGAGCGCTCCCACTGTCTGCTGTTTGTTGCAGGCACCAGCCAAGGCTTCTTTGCCCCAGTCGGTGGCAACGAAGGCTTCGGGGGATTTGGGGTTGGCCAACTTGTTTGTTGGCCTCGTGGTTCTCGGACGGCTCCCCAACCCGAGGTTCTGCGATGAACGTGTGGCGATATTTCAACATCAGGGTTCCCTTTAAAGTACATGTAGAAGCGGACACGTCAAAGGAACCAGTTTGCAAACAATCCCACGTGCTAAAGCTAGTCCCTGCATGTCCACTTGGGAACTTGGGGTTTCGTGCTGCATGGGGTGGCAAGGTGAAGCCATAGGGCTCCACAGTGACACACAATCACACCTAATTTGTTTCAGTGCACAGCCCTAAACCTTAGCCAAACCGAAAGAAATCCGACGAGTTTTTTTTGCTTACCTACCACCCGAAGTCCGCTGTAATTCTCCCCATAAGCCCCTTCAGCAAGTGACTCATTCTTCGGAGGTTCTTTTGACATTGGCCAGGTCGTCGGACTTGTGCGAGACCCTGGGAAGCGTTATGCGCATGTTTACAGTATTTACATATACTCGTTTGTATGCATGTATGTGCATAGGCCGGCAGGCAGGCAGGCAGGCAGGTACATATACGTCTAAGTAAGATATCGCATATATATGTTACAATTCTAAACAATGTGCTGCACGGATCAGCAGAAAAGTAAATAGAGATGGATAGATAGCTAGATAGAAATGTAGATGGGTGCATGGATGGCTAGATGGTTGGGTGGGTGCGTGGGTGGGTGGGTGGGTGGGTGGGTCGGTGGGTGGGTGGGTGGGTGGGTGGATGGATGGATGGAGACAGACAGATCGATAGTTATATGGCTGGATAGGCCGATAGACAAGCAGGTAAACGGAATCATATAGAAGCATACAAAACTACGTAGAAATCAGAAGGATCACAAGCTGATATGATACGCAGAGAGAAAGATAGAAAGATCGGTAGAACGAACGATAGATCAATGGACAAATTGACAGCAGACCGACAGAGATATAGATGGGTACATAGACAGTGGGTAGTTGCATTGGTAGGTAGACACACAGGCAGACAGATTGATAAGGATGGATGGATAGATCGATAGGTAGGTAGGTGGGTAGGCAGGTAGGCAGGTAGGCAGGTAGGCAGGTAGATGGATACATAGATGGACAGACAATTAGATAAGGCCGAAGACACACAGACAGATGCATTGACAAACTAATGGATGAATAGATAGATAGACAATCATCGGTAGGCGGATAGATGCACAGACAGACAGATTGATAAGGCGGTAGATAGAAATATATACAGATAGGTGGGTAGATCGGTAGGTAGGTCGATGACTAGATAGACGGTTCGATGGGTAGATGGATCGATGGATAGATGGATGCTCCAAATCGGGGATACCCGGAGCATTTCTAACCCTGAGCCCGAAGCGGGATATCTCAGGAACCTCATGCACAAGTTTATGGACCTGTCTGCTTTCTTCGATGTGCATCTCAGCTGGGTCACCCGAAACCCTGCCCCAAAGTTGGAGGGAAATCATTTCTGAGAGTGGCTCACGGGCCGAGCGTCTATCGAACTGTAGTCCATGGGCGGGTCCATTTCAGCCCTTTGTTTTTATTTGAATGCTCAGCTGCCTCAACGCTCCTCAAATGTCGGATTTTGCCAACTTGTGGTTTCCAGAGGCCTCAGCAGGTGGGATGAAGGTAGCTGAGATGTTCCAAAATAAGAGTCCTTATATAAGGCATCCCCAATCCCACCTACCTTCATCCCACCTGTTGACGCCTCCGAGGTTTCTGTTCTATCGTAAGCACAGGTACCCTTGGGGGACTGCTCGTCTGGGTTCCGGTATAACATTATCCCTTGCACACGATGTGCACACATAGATATAGACATAGATATAGACATGTATGTATGTAGTTTTCATAAACATAGGTCCCCGACCCTTTTCTGCTTACGTTGGCCCTCTGCCATACCCTGGAAAACCCAACAAGACCTAACTAGAACCATCGAATGCCTTCTGCACAACGACTCCTTTAACCCAGAATCCAGAGTTTGCAGATCTTGCGGAACTATGAAACCCCAAACCATCCCAAGCCTAAAGTCCGCGAATCCTTAAACCACAAAGCTAAACACAAACGGGTCAAAACGATGCAGCGGCACATTTGAACCCCAGCAATTACAACCTAAACCCTTATCCCCAAAATCCTAGACCCGTAAGCGCTATGCCCCCAAGCCTTTGTGCCCAAATGGCCTTGGTGACTCTAGGCGCGTCTTCGAGGCTGCTGCTGCGGAGGCTTCCCGTTGGCGCAGTATCCAGGCCCAGCTTGCAGCAACAATTTTAGGTTCAGGGTTTATGCCGGGGTTTGTATTCATTGCACGGTTAATATTCGCATAAGTTGTAGTACTATTTATGAGTACGAATGTAGATCCCTGATTTCGTTCTTTCTATGCCAAAGCCCTAAACTCAAGAACCTGGACCCTAAACCTAACACCTCAACACCCCAAGTGCCTACCCGAAAGAGAGATGTAGGAGTGCCTGCGATGTCATCGGAATTCTGTAAAGTGTGGACATCCAGCTATGATTACATGCGGGTTGTCTCAGGGGCTATCTTCACTCATTCCAGGCATTCCAATGTACAGTCTTGCCCCGTCTTTGTGTCTGTCTCTTTGTTTCTGTCTGTCTCTGTGTTTGTTTATTTCTATCTGCATGTCCCTCCCTCCCCCCTCCCTCCCTCCCTCCCTCGCTCCCTCCCTCCCTCGCTCGTTCGCTCGCTCGCTCGCTCTGTGTCTGTCTGTCTGTCTGTCTCTCTCTCTCTCTCTCTCTCTCTCTCTCTCCTCTCTCGCCACACCGATCTGCGAGCCCATAGGCCAGTCCTCTCTCGTCGTCTCTCTGTCTCCATCTCTCTCTCTCTCTCTCTCTCTCTCCCTCTCCCCTTCGCTCTCCCCCTCTCAATCTTTCTCTCGGTCTCTCCGCACAATAAATACATATATACATATATATACATATACATATATACACACATGTGTAGACATACACATGTATGCCTATATCACTGTATGCAAGAGATGGCTGGAAGTGCAAGTGTTGCAGCGAGGTCCTTTTCGTTCTGATCCTTGCAGCTCCCTCCTAGTGACCCATGTGGTAACTCATAAGGGCTCCTACAGCAACCCTATTGGTAACCCTTAGGGAAACCATTATGGAATCAAGCGAGCCGCGAAACATGGCAGATGTCAGGCTTGCCGACAGCTCTTCCATCTTGCAGGCACGGAGGGCAGCTGTAGACATTTTGGGCATGTCGGCTCCGTGCCCGTAGTTTTGCATACTGACCCGAAACCCTAAGTCCCCAAGCTATGTTTAGGTCTTTTGGGGCTTCAGCCGTAAAGGCTTCAGCCTGCTGCATGAGCATCAGCAGCTCTAGGCTCGGGTTGTTTTGGAGCTAAGGCTTCGTGGTTTTTGAATGACGTGTTCTTTTGGGTCTGGATGCGAGAGATGCTTTTAAGGCTTCAAATTTTTGCGCTCTGTTGCACACCCTCTACCACGGACCTAGGGGCTCATTGCGCTGTATATGTAGGGTTGTACGTGCTAAGCCCCCGGCTTTACGTACCATACGACCTAGCTTCTGGGCTTCAGGCGGATTGGAATCATTGGTGTGCATGAACGACCCGTTGTGGTGTCATGTTTCATTTTTCAAATTGCCACTCTGGTGCTGCATTTCGCTGTATTGTATGTTGCAAAGTCTAAGTGCCGTCCTTGTCCTGTATTTGTCGAATCGAGGTTCGTTTGCCCCCCGACTTGGGGAACCGGCATACATTCTAAACCCTAAACCCGTAACCCGTGAACCCTAAACCCTAAACACCTAAACCCCAAACCCAACCCTAAACCCTCAGTTCTCTATGGGTTCGATCCATGACACTGCCCTGTTTCCGTGCAGGCGTAGTGGCGTACCGACATCCGACCGAAGTGCATGTGCACAAGCAAGAGCAGCCACACAAGCATAAGGATGAGAAGAAGAATGTCAGTCCTACTAAGAAGAATAATAGTAAGAATGGTAACAATAATAACAGCAGTGATTGCACTGACGAGTGGATAGTATTGTGCAGCAGTCGGACAGGTCTCACAGTGATGGCAAACTAAATATACCATATGTGTAGCACTAGGACAATAGGTAGCACTTGTGTGCCGACGCGGCTGAATGTATTTGCACGCTTTCCTCTGTGTAGTGTAGTTGTGTTGATTTGTTGCTAAACGCGGGCCCAGAACAACCCTTACATACTGTAGGGGCCTAACAATTACCAATACTATTTTGGGGGTTCCTTCATATACCTATAATATAATGGACTCCAAATCCCTATCCTAGTTGTTATAAGGCCCCTATATTACAAAGCTCCTAAACCCCTAAGCTCCAACCCGAAGCGGCCTCATAATTTCAGCCCCAAACCCTAGGCCCGAAGCCCTAAATCCCAAACCCCAAACCCGTTTTCAACCCCAAGCCCATAAACCGCAAACGGCGAATAGTTTAACCCCTTACGTAAGAGCCACACCCCAACCCCTCAACCCCAGACTAGAGCTATCTGGGTAGTTCTCGAAATTCAAGTCCCATTTTAAGTCCCCAAACTAGAACGGCGCCCTTAACAAAAGGGATCCTGCAAGGGACCCTAGTTAAAAAAAACCGACCCATCTAGGTGTGGCGTCGATCCACAAGACGGAGAAGCTGCTGGTGCTCTTGGTCCCTAGGCGATTCAGGCGTTTAGCCTGTTGTAGGCTTTCGGGTTCAGGGCTCAAAAATCCTTAGGGCTCCTTATTTTACTTATACTAAAATGGATTAAGGCCCGTACATGAATCATCCATAAAACCTGCGGATTTTTGCAGATGCCGTCGTATGCTAGTGGGTACCACGAACTCGAGCTAAGTTGCGGGCGCCTTGCGTGGATGCTTTTCGGGTTCAGAGTTTAGTGTTTAGGGTTTAGGGTAACCGACAGTCTAATTAAACCCCTAAACCCTAAACCCAGAACCCTAAACCCAGAACCCTAAACCCTGAACCCTAAACCCTGAACCTTAAACCCCTGAACCCAAAATCCAATTAAACAGGGTTGAAGATATGCAGGGGCTATGGGGGTCTTATAAGTGCCTAGCGTGTTTGCTTTCAAGGCCCCTTTGCCCCAAGCCTTGAGCTCTGAAGCCACTGGTCGCTTCTAGCTGGGGATATTATGAGTATGACTTCTTATATTGGACCCGAATACACCCTAAGAGTATTCGTAAAAGACCCGTAAGGTAATATTACAAAGGAGGAGCCCTAAGAATATTACCCTTAGCATCAAAACAGCACAGAAGCCCTATAAAATAGGGTCTTTGGGCCCAAAAAAGCCTTAAAATATGAGTCCTTTGAGGGTAAGGTTTACGACTATGTTACATCCTAATACTACTCCTAATAAGCCCTTATAGTAATATTACTAAGGAGCCCTAATAATGTTACTACTTGGAGGTTCATGGGTAGTTACAAGTGGGTTATAAGCCCCCTAATATGGGTTGTAACTATAGTTACCCTGCTTATAACCCCACTTATAACTACCCATGAACCTCCAAGAACCCTAAACCCTAAACAAACCCTCAACCTTAAACCATAACCTTAGAGTAATATTACTAAGGAGCCCTGGTAATGTTAGTAATATGTTACATCCGATCCCACTTGTAAAGCCTTAAACCCCTAAACCCTAAACCCTAAACCCCTAAACCCTAAACCCTAAACCCTAAACTCCTAAACCCCTAAACCCCAATAATGTTAGTAATCTGTTGCATCCGATCCCAAGGTTCGAGGTCACTCCAACGACCAGGAGGCCATGCACGCCCTGCTCCAGGAGATCCTGGCTCAGTCAGGCCCAAGGGGGTTTTAAGGTTTAGGGTTTAGGATTTAGGGTCTAGGGTTTCGGGTTTAGGGTTTAGGGTCTAGGGTTTAGGGTCTAGGGTCTAGGGTTTAGGGTTTAGGGTTTAGGATTAAGGTTGGGGCCCGTAATAGAGAAGCCTGAGTCATTACCTATATTATTTTGGGCGAGGTCCTTCTTATAATTATACCATAAAGGACCCCCCAAAACCCTATTCGTTTTGTTATTAAGGCCCCTACATTAAGGGTTGAGGGCTTTAGGGGTTTAGGGTTTCGGAGTGCAGGTTGTGGGGTTTAGGGTTGAGGGCTTGGTTTAGGAATCAGGGTTGTAGGATTTATGAGTTTAGGGTGGCTGATTAAGGATTATTAAGGGTGTTGGCGTTTAGGCGGTTTGGGGTTTTAGGATTTAGGGCCTGGGTTTAGGGGTTTTGGGTTTAGGGTTTGGCCAAAGAGGGTCCAGGGCCTGCAGGATTACGGTTTAGGGTTTAGGGTTTAGGGTTTAGGGTTTAGGGTTTAGGGAAGACGGTGTTAAACAGTTCAGGCTTTTCTTCATGCCGGCTCAGACATGTCGTGTTTTTTGGGTCTGATCCCATTTCCACCATGTCCCGGTGGTGTTGCGCGCCTGTCGAGAACTCCGGAAGCCGAAGGCCTTAAACCAAACGGCTTGTTGTTAGACACACACACACACACTTTTCTATGCATACATATATATATATATATATATAACGGTATGTATATATATATATATATATACATATATATATATGTGTACATACTATCTATGTGTATATATATATACCCCATGTTAAATATTTACGTACAACTAGACACACACACACACACATACATATATACACACATTGTGTATATATATATATATATATATGTGTGTGTGTATATATATAATTATGCATATGTGTAGATGTATATGTCGGAGCTTGGAAGGAACGACCCTGGCACGCTCCACGTTGGAGGCGCTCGCAGCGCAGTGCTCTGCTGCGAGCCCCGTGGGCTCGTACATCCAGTTTCAGGGTCTAGTCTAGGACTGTTGGGTTGTTTGAGGTTTGTGTGTTTTAGGGTGCCGGTATTTGAGGGTTGCAGGGCTGTGGGATTTGGAGGCTTCGGTTCAGGTTATGATTAGGTCTTTTGAAAGTAGGCTTGAGGCTTGAGGCTTAGATTGTGGAGTTGATTTTCTGCAGATTCCACTTGTTTTTTCAAAGTGTGGCTTTTGTTTCCGGGCCTGCGTGCTTGACGATCTTGAACCTTGCACGGCTCAGCATGCCTAGGCATGGGAATCGTTGAGTTTCGCGTATGTGTTTGGGGTTGGAGGCATGATTTTCGTTGTGGTTTGTGTGTCAGTTGTGCTGCTTTTTTCAGCACCACTGTTATACCTATCACAACAAGCTCTAGGCCATTGCCACACTGTCCTTCCGTGGTTGGAGTAGCTACTGGCTATTCTTCACGATGCCCACACGAGTGGTCATAAGCAGTGCGCGTAAGTTTGTAAGCCATAGACGGCCGAGCTACTTGGAGTTCAGGGATTTTTTTGGTTGTCGTGTACAAACCGAGGCAATCGCAAGTCGGCCAAGCTGTTGCAGGCGCCAAATCTTGCCGCATGTACGCTTTTCTGGGTCCGCCAGTTTTGGCATGTGTGTGTGTATATATATATATATATGTTACATGTATATGTGTGTGTGTGTGCGTCATATACAAGTGCGTTTGTGTGTGAAAGGTCTTGGCTACAGTGCGCTTGAGCCGGAGGGTCGACATGCAGATCCCAGCAACATGTCATCTTAACCACTGGTCAGAATCGTCCCAGCAATCGCCAGTGTCACCGTCAGCATCATCTAACCGAGGAGCCAGAGCTATCATAAGATGGACAGCACGAGACTTGGTTGTGGTACTAGCCGAGACAGTACGAGGAGCAGTAAGTCAAGGATTTGTTGGGCTCTTAAACGAGATGGAGCTCCCGAAGCTTGGACCGCCCTGACCTTTAACTTGCCCAGAGACTCCAATACCCCCTAATTAAGGAATAATTATACCCGAAATCATATTAGGGATCCTACAAGAATTTAAGGTATATTCCTTAATTAAGGGGTATTGGAGTCTCTGGGTGCTTCAGGAGCAGCTTGATGCGACAGGGTCCGGCCACGACGCCGGCCGGCAGGTGCCTCGCGATCTTGTCTGCTGCAACCAGCAACCGGAGGATGTAGCTGATGGATGCTGATGGATCCTGCCATTCTTGATTTCAACTGCCAACCGGACCTTACGTGTGGGGTTGGTTGGTCTGGAAGCCTATAGAAGCCACATTCCATATGGATACTTCCTGGTTGTGGACGGCGTGTCACGTCCTTGTCAACAGACTAGCGGCTAACGGAATAAAGGGTGCAACCGTTGAAAAGGAACTGGACCAGAGGACCCAAAGATTGTCAATTGCATCCCGATCCCCTGAGCCCCTAAGCCCTTGAACCCTAAACCTTAAACCCTAAACCCTAAACCCTAAACCCTAAACCCTAAACCCCAAGCCCGAAATTTCAAAGGACAGTTCCTGCTGGCTCGAAGCTGAGATGGCGCTGTTTGCAGGCGCGCATGATCAGCAACTACGGCAAAGAAGGGAACCTCGCTGCTGCGCTCGACATCTTCGAAAAGTTAAAGGACCCGCTGCATGACATGAGGCCCCAAACCGCCCAAAATGAAGGTTAGAACATCCGAGCATGAGTGGTAGCCAACCTTATTCCTTAAGGTTCCCTTTTCAGAGATATACCATACTATACTTCCCCAAACCCTGTTTAAATATTCAGGCTCCTATGTTTCAGACCCAACACCGTAGATCCCAAGCCACCAAGCCCTCAGTAAGTGCGCTGCACACGTCTGTATACCTACCGTAAGCCTGAAACCCAAAAGACTAAACCCTAAACCCTAAACCCCAATCCCAGAACGGATCGTTACCGCTCTGCCCGGGATCCACAATGATGGAAGCCCCTTCTGGCCTAAAGCCGTTCTTATTACTACACCGTGTTTTTTGAAGTTTTTCAGCCCTATAAACCCTCAGTCCCTACCTGCATTGTGCTTGGAGGGTCTCTACAGTGGCCCTGTGAATGGAGCCTAACAAAGAAGCCTGAAAAATTACCAACATTACTCCTGCAGGTTCCTTACTATGAGTTAACTATAAAGGAGCCCAAAACCTTGTTCTAATTATAAACCCAAAACCCTTACTTGTACCTCTTATAGAACCCTTTAAGGAACCCTTTAAAGGAACCCCCGAAAACCCTATCCTAACTATTGAGGCCCCTACAGTAAGAGTCTTTTCAAGCTCTGCTGGCGCAGGAGTGCGGCGGATTGACGGTTCTTGAGCCCCGGCTTCTAGGGCTTTCGGGGCCTTAAACCCTAAACCCTAAACCCAAAGCGCTTAAAAAGAAACCCTAAACCCAAAACCGTAGACCCGGCTTATAGGGCTTCGAGTTCAGGGTTTATGTGGTGCAGGGCTCGCGGCTGAGGGCTCAGAGTTTTGGGCTTGAGGCTTGGAGGCCTTCCGGGGCTGGGACTTGCTATACGGCTTACTATAGGGTTTAGGGTTTAGGGCTTAAAACTTTAGCAACCGCATTTTGGCCGGTTCTTTGTTAGAAATAATATACCCCCAATACCTGTTGAAATTATTCAGGCCACTCTATTAGGGCTGTTGCTGGTGCACAGATCGGATTTCGCCGATCCCTGAGACCTTTTCTTCTCGCAGCTGCCTGTTGGGGTTTTGGGCTTGGGGCTCCTCTCAAGCTTTCAACTTACTTTCGGCTTTAAATTATGGGGGAGTTATTCTACATTCAAGGTCTTCGCCCCGAAGGTGCTTGTACCCCTGAGTTTTCAAAGCCCTAACAACCAGATACCCCGAAAACCACAAAGTGGAGCGCATTCCCAGAATTTCCTATGTAAACCGAGCTGGCAGGATCGGGAGGAAGAGTAGGAGATTACCTTGTAGAGGGCTTCCACCCTCGTCTCTTTAGCCTCTACGTACGGGTATTTGCTTATGTGTTGTTTATATTTGGGGGGGGGGGTGCCGTGCCCGAGGATATCGCGGTTGCAGCATATCAGACTGCAGAAGGCAACAGGGTGACAACAGTACACGAAGATATGCGAATCCTTGACTAAGCCTTGAACTGAACAGTTCCGCTTCCCTTGCCCCGTCGCTTCGCATGCTGTAGAACCCCTTTTGATTTTTCGAGGTTCGGACAGAAAGCCTTCAGTTTTTGCAGTTCCCATTTTTTATTTGGCCCGATGTAGAGAACGACGGTGCCGGACTCCTTGGCAAAGAAGAAAACCCTAAATCTGAATCCCATGAGGCCCGAAGCCCTTACCCACTGAAACCCTAAAGCCTAAACCCGTAAACCCTTATCAAGAACCCGACACCCTGGATCTTAACGCCACGCCTAAACCCCAAACCCTACGGAAGCAGCGACAAAACCAAGGTCTACAACTGCTTGTTGGATGCCTGCATCGAGTGTCGCGACCTGCCTCGTGCCCTTCAGCTCTTCCAGGCTATGCTTTCCCCTTGCATCCGGTGGGCATGCAAATTATTCCAGATATGTCTGTGCGTGTATATATTTATATACATATGTACATGTATACACGCACATGTATCTCTACCCTCTACTTGACTCCACCTAAATGCTTGCATATATCGTGCATGCATGTGTTATATATGTATATCAGTTGATGGCTCTGAGTGTTCTACATATCTCTATATCTACCTATCTATCCGTCGACCTATCGATCCACCTACGTATCCATGTGTCTATCTACCTCTACAGTTGTCTATCTGTCCATATATCTATCCGTCTATCTATCTACAAACTCAGCAAAATGCTTAAATCCGTCAATAAAGAAATAAGTAAGTACGTGTAGTATATTTGTATATCATGAACAATAAACAAGTAAGCAAATACCTTTACATGTAGATGGTCTGAGAAGATATGATATGATGTGTGTTCGTTGCGATTTAGGCGTTCTGGGTTCGGCCTATGCAGGTCTAGTATTCTACAAACTCATTGTGAATGTACCTGGGCCTCTAGGAATTCCTGATTAGGGGGGCGACGAGCTTTAATGTCCCTGGTTTGTGGATTCCAAGGTGTGAAAGGGCTGTGGGGGTCGGGGCTGAGATGCTGCGCTGAGGCTTTGCGGCCTGCATGTATGCACACAACTATCACACTCAAACATCCATAGATCATGGCGCGACGGGTATGAGTCTAGCAATCATGATGCTGAGCACAATTTGCTTCCAGTAGTCAGGGTCGAGAGAGAGAGAGAGAGTAAGAGTGAGAGTGAGAGTGAGAGTGAGAGTGAGAGTGAGAGTGAGAGTGAGAGTGAGAGTGAGAGTGAGAGAGAGAGTGAGAGTGAGAGTGAGTGTGAGTGTGAGTGTGAGTGTG